TTGTAGCATCAATGTACTCTACTAGTGTACGCTGTAGTCAGAGCATATTGTTACTTGAATCTAATCAGCAAAGCCAAACACTTAATTAATAATTCTCTGCACACTTACGTGAACGCGATATCGGTCTAACGAAGAATATGAGAAACACTGTGAGATGGTGAAACACGTGGAACGATAGACGGATGAACGGGCGTTCTTTAGTAGCCAGCGCATGGGTAACACTGCCCCGAACCCCGCCCGAAACTCAGCTAACGTAAAAGCTAAATCAATCTACCTGCTTAAACACTTAAGGAAACGGATGAAAAAATCACGATGATTCCAGTAAGGTTGGATAGTAGAGACGTTTCTAGTGTCCACGCGAGGGCAACACCGCCCGGAAGGCGGCGCGGAACTGACCGCTCTTCGCAGCATATATGAAGAAGTTCATGCAAGAGTTTGAGTACGCCAGCAGGTAGCCGATGCCTCGCGCCACGCCGACCGTGTCGTGGTAGACGTCGGCAACGCTCAGCAGCATCATGATGAAATACGGAGCCCAGCAAACGAAGAAAGCGCCGGCGACGATGCCAAACGTCTTGGCAAGCTTCAGATGCCATGCGAGCTCAGCAGAGAAGGATTTTCCGGTCGCTCCTGCTTCCTGCGAACCGCTGCTGAACAGTTCCTGGTGGATCTGCTGCTGGTGGTGCTTGGCAATTATCATCATGTAAGCGTAGATGGAGATGATGGCGACGCCACACGTACCAATGACTAGAGAGCTACAGACGAGACATGTTCTACTCGTGACTGTGTCATACATACATGGTTGATCCGGCTGCCAGCGGTTGCCAATGAGAGTCATCACGCTTGCAAAGAAGGCAAAGCTCCAAGCGAGGACTACCATTACTAAGATAACGCGCGGTCTGACGATCTGGTAGTAGTGTAGCGGTCGCGATATTGCAATGTACATGTCTACGTTGATGGCAATGAGAGAGTTTGTTGATGCAAGGGCCGAGAGCGTAACCAAACTGAAGTGTCCAAGGCATATGATATTTGGCGGGAATTCGATAAGAAAGATTGTTGGTGATACGAAGGTTCCTTGCACGCCCATGAAAAAATCAGCGACAGCCAAGTTTGCGATCAGCTTGTGTGCCGGCTCCTGCAGGTGTGATGTCCGTGTCACAGCCAAGGTGACGAGAAGATTAGCAAGTATGCTGATCATGTTGAGAGGAATCAGCAGGTAAGCGATCCACGCCTGAATGGATTCAACCGTTGCCTGCTCAATATCCGACTCCATGCAGCCGACCATGCTCCCATTCTCGGACACGGACCCGGAAATGTTGCACAGTGAACCATTAGCTGTCGCCATGATGCAGAAATAAATCTCACCACGCCAGCTCCGTAATGGCCAGCCACTAATGGCATACCTCTGCCGCTTTGTATTACATTTATGTGTTTTTATACTAAATAATATCTCTGCCTCTCCCTCCCAGCAATTCTGTTTCTGAACTCCATTTTACTCGCAGTATCATCACGATACTGTGCCACATAATTTATTGTCCAAATATTACGTCGCTTAGCTAGTGAATTTTCAGTAGAAACGCGTCGTTCTTTTTCTTGAAGCGTTGATCTAGCGTGATGCGGGGTATTGTTGTACATATACGTGGACGTACCATGTGAGGCTACTAGTCACATTGCCACATCCACAAAAAGCTGCGTAACACTAATGGCGTGCAGCTGCCACTTTGCGTTCGGTTTGCGTTACACTCATTTATTTCATACCCAGTAGTGGCTCCCCCTTTTCCTCTCAGCAATTATATACATGAACGCTATTAACATTAGCTGTCACCATGATGCAGAAATGAATCTCACCACGCCAACTCCGTGACACTATAATGATGTGTCACGACACACACTAACGATTTAAATAATATTGACGTATATTATAGGTAGTAGTGTCCCCCTTCTTTCTTTCTCTCTCCCCCCTCTTTCTCTCTCTTCATCTTCTCGCTCTCTCCCAATAATTGCAATTCCGAGCCTAATTTTTCTTTCAGTATTATCTCGATACGAGTTACATAAATAAATGCCGTGCTATTATATTGCTTAACTGTCAGAATTTCTATAGGAACGTTTCGTCCATTTCCTGAATTGTGTAACTAGCGTGATGCGGGGTATTGTTGTACATGCTTACTTGGACGTATCGTGTAAAGTTACTAGCCACATTGCCACATCCAATGAAAGGGACATTAGCAGTTGGCGCGTGCACAACTTAGACTGCCCCCAGCTGTCAACCCTCCGCCACGAGAAAGCATGAATCTTGGTAATAGTCTTCACTAATATGAAACTCGGTGGTAAGCTATGCGATATAGATATTTTCCGATATAGAAGTATTCGCAAAACTCACTGAGACGAGTTTAAACCATATTTAACGGCACGTCACACGTTTTTTAGTGTCCAACACGTTGGCAACACTGCCCCGTACTCCGCCCGAAACTCAGCTAACGTGAAACCTAAATCGATCTACCTGCTTAAACACTTAATCGAACGGATGAAACAGTCGCGATGATTCCAGTAAGGTTGGGCAGTAGACACGTCTTTAGTGTCCACGCGAGGGCAACACCGCCCGGAAGGCGGCGCGGAACTGACTGCTCTTTAAAGCATATATGAAAAAGTTCATGAAAGAGTTGGAGTCTGCCATCAGATAGCCGAAGCCTGTCGCTACGCCGAATGTGTCGTGGTAGACGTCGGCGACGCTCAGCATCATCAGGAAGAGGTATGGAGTCCAGCAGAAGAAGAAGGCGCCGACGACGATGCCAAACGTCTTGGCAAGCTTCAGATGCTTGGCGAGCTCAGCAGAGAAGGATTTTCCGGTCGCTCCTGCCTCCTGCGAACCGCTGTTGCCCTGGTCCGGGTGGATCTGCTGCTGGTGGTGCTTGGCAATCATCATCATGTAAGCGTAGATGGAGACGAGGGCGGCGCCACACGTCAAGACAATTACCGAGATTAAGATGACAGATATTCTACTCGATATGATGTCAAAGATGCATGGTAGATCCGGCTGCCAGCGGTTGCCAACGGACGTTATCACGCTTATGAAGAAGGCAATGCCCCAAACCAGGACTACCATTAACAAGATAACGCGCGGTGTGACGATCTGGTAGTAGTGTAGCGGTCGCGATATTGCAATGTACCTGTCTATGTTGATGACAATCAGAAAGTTCATTGATGCGAGTCCCGAGAGCGTAACGACAGCGCCATGTCCAAGGCATATGATCTTTGGCGGGAATTCGATTAGAAAGGTCATTGGTGAGATGAAGACTCCTCGGACGCCCATGATGAAATCAGCGACAGCCAAGTTTGCGATCAGCTTGTGTGCCGGCTCCTGTAGGTGTGATGTCCGTGTCACAGCCAAGATGACGAGAAGATTAGCAAGTATGCTGATCATGTTGAGAGGAATCAGCAGGTAAGCGATCCACGCCTGAATCGATTCAACCGTTGCCTGTTCAATATCCGACTCCATGCAGCCGATCCAGCTCCCATTCTCAAACACGGACCCGGAGATGTTGCACAGTGAACCATTAGCTGTCGTCATGATGCAAAATGAATCTCACAACGCCAGCTCCGTATCACTAATGGCGTGCCTCTGCCGCTCCGTATCACTAATGGCGTACCTCTGCCGCTCCGTATCACTAATGGCGTACCTCTGCCGCTCCGTATCACTAATGGCGTACCTCTTCCAAGAAATACGGTATCTAAACAGATCCGGTATTTGATGTAAATACGCGGCTTCCCAGACCCCGAATAATTTGCCGTGCTTGAGAAATACCGGATCTCTTGGACCGCGCATTTCCTCGTGTGAACGCTAAATACCGGATTTCTGAAGCCGCTTATTTTATAGACTGTTCCGCGCTCGACAGTTCCAGTGTAATGCGAGTGGAACTGTCGAGCGCGGACCAGTCTACGTATTTTATCGGCAGTTGGTGCGCATTGCATTGTTTATTTCACATTGTTTATTTGTTTAAAGCAGCTCGCAGCTCGCAAATACCGTATTTCTGGAGCCGCGAATCAGCGTGTGAACGCTCGGTCGCGTATTTAAAAGGCGTGTTCACACACAAGAAAAACCGCGATGCTCATCCCGCTAATAGCGGAGATAATAGTGAGATAATTGTGTCGTTGTTCACACAGGCGAACATATCTCGCTAATCCCCGAGCGGGATAACACGCCGCGGTGCAAATCGCGCTAATTTCAAATAGCGCAGTCGGAAGTGCGATTTGGAGCGCGCTATTTAGAGCGCGATTTAGTGAGATATTTGCGTTCACACTTGTAAAAATCTCGGTATTTCGAGCGGGATGCAAAAACCGAGATTTGCATCCCACTAATTCCCGCCAGTGTGAACGCACCTTTTGTCTCAGATTCGGTATTTCGCAAATACCGTATTTCATAAATACGAGGTCTCGTGTGAACGAGGCTAGCATCAGACACGCTATACGAACTTCGACAGCGAATCCGACTGACAGGATTTACCAATACTGCCAGCTCCGCCACGTAGAGATTAGGTTATTTATAATTAGGAAATAGCTCCCGCTCCTCCCCTCGATTAGACTGCGCTTTTATTTCACGATCGAAGAGAATGACGTCACAGTTTGTGGGCGTCGAAGCGAAAAATTTTAATTGGAAATTTTAGCATTGGCTGCGCGTATGGAATAAATCAACGGTGGCAAAGCATTTGCTAAAATTATTGTTAAATTATCGTACGCTCGTTGAGTTTGGTCGACTAGGACTCAATGCATGTAGTAGGGCGAGTTGGGAGGAAGTTATGTTTATATATGTGATGAAACATGTCATTGTATGAACAAGGATAAATACGATCACTCGAATACGTGTAGTGTGCATATTGAACAAGCAGGAAAAGGGCATCGTGCGTTAGTTCTTCGCATAATACACGCAATAGCCCAAATATCATATCACACGCACACACATTATTTATAATAAAAATTCTTACCTATTTTTTAATATTCATATTTCTATATCTATTCTATACGTGTGTTTTTACCTGTAATATATATATATATATATCCTCTGCCGCTCCGTATCACTAATGGCGTACCTCTGCCGCTCCGTATCACTAATGGCGTACCTCTGCCGCTCCGTATCACTAATGGCGTACCTCTGCCGCTTCGCATTGCATTTATGCCTTTTATACGTAATAATATCGACGTCTCGCCTCTCCCTCTCAGCAATTCTATTTCTGAACATCCACAGAAAGCTCCGTAACACTAATCGCATGCCTCTGCCGCTTTGCTTTACACTCATTTATTTCATACTTAGTAGTGTCTACCCCCTCTCCGTTTCAGCAATTTAAAAGAACGACATTTCCATTATATTACCCATATTCCATATATTATTCCATATATAGGTCCTGTCATAAAGTGCCAAATAAGGCCTCTACTGGGAAATCGAGTGAAACAAGCTGGATTCTTTACTAATGTGTTGGTATTGGTCTATATAAACCCCCCAAAAAAGTTACACAATATTCGTTTGTCGGAAACTTTTTTACGGGCCACGCCCTTTTTCCGATTTTCGCGATTATGGGAAAATTGTGTAAATCTTACCTAAACACATTATAGTCATGTTATACATGTTAATAGGGATATTTTGGGGCGGGGAGTCGATTCCAACAGTCAGTTTATTTATAAATTAAACGGTTAAGGCTTAATTGACCAATTAAGCTCAATTAAGCTCTAATTTTATATAGATCTCTTTATATTACTCTAATATCACTCTTAAATTATTATAAGATTTATTATAATAAAATACAG